GAATATAGTAAATTATAAATGAATTATACACATAAGAAGAATGAATTTTATGGTATATAAATTATATCTCAATAAAGCTCTTATAAACAAAAAGAATTAAATAGCAAGCTTTCCCCCACCACTCCATGGTCAGTAAATTTCGAACTTTAAGTTTACAACTAAATTATAAAGAAGAAATTGTGGATGGAGGTATGTACTATTATTAACTACTACTTCCTCTTTCCCCCACAGAATGAAAAATAAGAGAACGCAGAAAGCCTTTCTTAAATGAACTATTGCTAGGTTTTCATTCACAGTTGTCTCTGAGATTGAAGTCCATTTATAAAAGGATTTTACACCTTGTGGTGAAAACTTTTCTGGTTTTTAGTCTGAATAGAAAGTTCTCATTTCTTTTTTTTTTTTTTTTTTTTTTAAAGTTCTCATTTCTAACAATCTCTTCTGCCTAGTCAGGTTTCAGTACAACCTACTTTGCTTATTCATTAATGCTATTTGTAAAAGGCATGAGATTAGTAGAAAGGGAACTACCCTTTAAGGAGGTCTGTATGTGTCAGATGCTGTCAGACACTCTACTTACATTTCCTGTCCAATGCTCACAACAGTTTTGGGAGGGAGTATTACTGTCACCTCTTTGAAGATGAGAAAGCAGGCTAACAGGGGTGAATGAGTGGCCCAAAGTCACACGGTCAGAAATGGCAGAACCCAAGACAGCCTGTGCTCTTTGCTCAGCATCGAGCTGCCTTCCAGAGTTCTCAGTTCTATGTAGTCATGGGGATACTCTTATCTTTATGATCCTTTATGGCTTTGGTGAAGGCTAAAATTGCTAGACTTTGGCTACTTGCAGAGTTCAAGGTTGAGGGTGATTTTCAAAGGATTGTGTGATTCCAGACATTTCCAAACTAGTTTTCCATTATTCCTAACTGTTCAACATTTGTTCATCAACAATTTGTTAAGCATCTACCACGTGCCTAGCGTTGTACACTTCAGTTAACTAAAATGATTATATGAATGTGTTCAGGTTTTAGAACTCTGTCCAAAAATAAAATTAAAAAAAAATAGAACTCTGTCCATCTGGAGGAGGTTGAACAGGGGGTGCCTCTTTTCCTGTCCTGCCGGAGAGCAAGGACGCAGTGGCCAAGAACATCCCACCCAGGATGGCTGGGCTCATGCATGCACATGTGCACACCTGACCTGTCCTGTAAAGCATGCTTGACCTTCAGCTTTGTGCCCCTTCAGAATCTGGCCCTGAGCAGGTGCTCAATGACTGTTGAATAAATGATTAAGCAATTCCTTTTACCAATCCACTAGAACTTGGGTTAGTCACTTCATTGCTCTGGGCCTTCATTTCCTCATTTGTAAAATGGGGATAAAGGGAATACCCACTTTCAGATGGCAACTTTGAGATCCCATGAATGATGCAAGGCACACAGTGAGCAATCAATACACTGTACTTGTCCTTTATATTATTACTGTTGAGGGCATGAGATGAATATTCTTCTAGGTCAAGTGTCCTCGTGTCCCCTATTACCTTGTAACCTGGTTTTTCTTTAAGGCTAAATGACCCAGTCAAATGGGGAATATTGGTCTAAGACCTGGAGGATGAGACAGACACAGTAATCCTATGAGAGTATATCCAGTGCCGCAACCCTGCACAGTTTGGAACATTCCACTCTTTGTCCAGAGTGCATGTGGGAGTGTGGGTTATGTTTCAGAAATGGTAGTGTTTGACCTGAGGGCATAGCTCCAGGCCAATGCCAGGCAGCCTCTCATCAGGCCATCAGCCATTAGTCTATAAGCTGACCCTGTGTATGTATGTTTGTGTGTGCATGCGTGTACACACATGTGCAGAGACCCACAGGACACTAATGTCTCATCAAGGAAAAGACTGTCTCCCACTGGTCCTGCCATGTCATTGTTAACCACAGGGAGTTCCCTGAGACCTGACAATTGAGGCCCTAAGATTCATCCCTAAAACCCCATGGGTCTGGGGCAGGCAGGGCCTGGACTCAAGAATGGCCCCATGGAGAAAAGGGTCCCCCTACACACTGGCAGCTGATTTATTGGAACACCAATCCTGTAAGCTGAAGCCAATATTTTATCTGCCAATTTTGTATCCTATTACCAGACCTCTTGCAACTTTCAAAAAGACTCTTTGGGTCCAGTGATTCCCCGAGAGGGAACCCAGCCTTGGAAACAACCATAAGTAGCATGAGGTCCCGCTGCCTTCCTCTGCCAGACATGAGCAGAGACAGAAAGCACTCTCTACCAAAGACAGACAGCAACCCCCACGGGCCTGGGGCAGAGGGCTGCTGTGTGCACATGGCCACCTTCTGTGCTTCTCAATGCTGACAGGGCTTTGGGGGCGCCTCTTCAGGGAGGGAAGGGGGACCTAGAACCATGCATGGCCTCATGGCCTCTAGTAGGAGAGCAATGGGGAGCTGGCCCTCACCTCACCCTTCTCAGAACCCAATTCACAATTCCTTTCCTTGCTGCATTTCCCAAACAGACCAGGCTTGACCCACCATCAGGGCCAGCTTGATGGGCATCAATCCCTGCAGTCACCTAGGGCTCCACATTTATTTTTAATGCTCTGCTATTGACATCTTGAAATTCTTAATCGTTTTGAGCAAGGGGTCCTACCTTTTCAGGTTACACTGGGCCTGAAAATTAGGGAGCCAGTTCTGTTTACTATTTTGCTCATGCAAGGCCTGACATCTGACAGCTGTCCTCTTTCCTTTCTGTTTCTTAAGTCCTATCTATGCTGCCCAAAGGCAACGTCCTGATAGAAAAATGTTTTTAAAACCACAGATGAGAGCACGTTATCTTGGGAAGAGCTTTTCTGCTTGGCTGAAGATGGAATGGTGATGACTGATAATGGATACTTAATAGCCCCACCAAATTTGGGATTTTCTTAGTTCTGTTCGAGGCTAACGGCTGTGGTGGAGGTTTTCTGCCCCTAGTCCTGATGTTACATTCCTTGAAGAAGTGTAGGGGTGGTATATAATAAACTCATTTTATCTGGCCTTTGGTGTTTTTGTCCAAAGCAGGACATGGGTACAAGGTAAAGTTCTGAGACTCAAGTTGTTATCTCGCTTGCCATTTACTTGCTTTGACTTCAGGCAAATACTAATCTCAGAGACTAAGTTTACTCTTCTTCAAAATGGGTTATGTACCACACCATGAGGCTTTCGGGCTTCAATCTGTGCGTTGGGGCAGATCCAGGCTCCTGGGAGAGTGACTTTTAGAAGCTGGTGGTTATTAATTCAGGTACACGTCTCCCTTCTGACCTGTGGCCTGGCAGAGCACGTGAATCTGGCCATACAGTTTTGGAGGGTTTGTGCCTTTTCCCCTGAAGCCCATTCAAGGTACCCCAGCTGAGGCAGCCTTCCTCTGGGTGTGGTTTCAGACTGACCCTCAGCTGTGCCTGAGGGGTAGAGAGTTTCTGGTTCACATTGTTTTTTCTTCTGCAGAGCTGTGCTTGGGCAGCTCTCCTGTGAGCAGCATTGTGAGCACAAGGCGAGGCAGTCTCATGACTCTTGCTGTTGTCTCCAGGATGGGGGTGTTCTCAAGGGCATTATTCTCAGCATAACAGAGTGGCCCCTTTGTGGAAGGCAGTATATAGGAGAGGCTTCTCGCAGGTCTCGGTACTCAGACAAACTTAGCTTTTGCAGAATGACTTTATTACTCTGCACACTGTGATCCTGAGAGCCGAGCTGCTGGGATATTCAAATCCAGATTTCAGGGCTTCGCTGGCAAGCCGACAGGCCTTTGGGCAGGACAGCCAGAGGTCAGTCTTACCCCTGGCTCGGTTATTTTTGTAACCCCTGCTCCTCTGAGATTTTCATTTGCCACAATTCCCTTAGCTTTTTGTTGTACACATTTTTCTTGTATGTATCCTCATATCCATCTCTCTCTGCTGCAAATGGGGCATGATACAAATATGTGAATTCACTTTTAAATCTATGTCAGGTAAGCTGAAAGGATTAAGAACCGATCTGCCTTAGGAATGTCATGGGTGCAGTACCATTGCTGAGTGGGAGGCTGGGATTGGGGGGAGGCAGGAGGTTTTTCCTCTAGACTTTATCGTCTTACCACACACAGCAATCCCCTGACCCACTATCCCAAAATACTTATTGGCACCTGCTTCTTTTCTAATTCACAAAAGCTCACTGAACACATTTTGCAACCTCCCCTTGAGAGTATGCTGAATTGACTTAAGTCAAGAGCTGGTAACAAACTCTAGCTGAAACTCATTTTATGGGTCCACAAGCAGACTTGTTAGAGCTACAACAGCCCATGGGCCCTGGGGAGTGGGAGGTACCACACTTCTGGGAGGGCTGCATGGAAAGGAGGGTGGAGGAGTGTGGAGGGGAGATAAGGAGCACTGAAGAGGGGCGGGAACACCACCCCTAGCACAGTGGGGCTCCGGATCAAGCCCTACGCCTGGCCTACAGTGTTACGCGGCCCAGGGAGCACAGGGTTCTCTGGAGGATTCTGCTCAGAAAATATAATCACAGGTTGTGGGGGACCACTTGCATTTTTCAACAGGTAGAAGAAGCTTTTATACCTGGATCAAGTGACCATGCCCACCACCCTGCCCTGCAGGCATTTCAAACACTGTCCCTCCATGCCCGAGGGTCATGCTTCAGTAACTTCTGAAGCAGAAATAGCGCCTCTGCTTCATACTATTTCACAGTTGAGGGGTCACCAGCCAAAGCCATGCCTCAGCTCACTTCTCCGTATACAATGTAGGAAGGGCCAGAGGTATCACTCCTCCTTTCAGAAGAGGGGGGTGAGCCTCAGGCAGGACAGTGACTTGCCCCAGTGACTGACAGAGTCAGCGGTCAACCTCAGGGCTGTGACGCCTACGCCCTTTGCACAGTAGTGAGCCTGGCACAGGGCAGGAGAGCCTGCCTGGCTGCCACGCTAATATGCCCTCGGAGCTGGGCAGGGGCCGGAGCTGCCGGAGGGCTGGGCTCACACTTCGTGTTTTTCCCTGGCAGTGGAGTCTGGTGTGCGAGGAGGATTGGAAGACGCCTCTTACCACGTCCCTGTTCTTTGTAGGCGTGCTTCTCGGCTCCTTTGTGTCTGGGCAGCTGTCAGACAGGTAAGGATGATGGGAGGGAGGAAAGGTGACTGTTGATACACTGCCTGTCCTGGGGGTGGACTGAATTTAGGGTAATTTCACCAGAGGAAGGGAGGCCCCATAGGCCACCAAGTGAGTGACCGGAGGAGGTATGATGTATCCTGTGTCCTCTGTGCTCAGCCCCTTGTGGGGAACCACTGGAAAATGGGGCCCTTGTATCACCGACTGTTAATCTCTTAGTTGTACCCAACTCTTTGTGACCTCATGACTGTAGCCTGCCAGGCTCTTCTGTCCACAGAATTCTCCAGGCAAGCATACTAGAGTGGGTTGCCATTTCCTACTCCAGGGGATCTTCCCGACCCAGGGATCGAACCAGGGTCTCCAACATTGTGGGCAGATTCTTTACCATCTGAGCTCCTCAAAAATATACACTGCTTGCCTCCCCACGGCCTCCTCACCCCACCCTGTTTTTTGTTGCCATGTGATCTATCCACAACCAGCCATTCGCCAGAGGCAAAGTCAGATGGTGAGTACCCCTCCTTAACTGTGCACCTGTCTCTACTGTGGGTCAGGCCCCTGGCTGGACACTGGGCCACAGAGCTGATCAAGGCTGGTTCAGGGCCTCCTGGAGTGCAGTCAGGAAGAGACAGCATCAGCGCGTGGGGAGACATGACCACGCTGACCCCTGCATGTTCTGCAGGGACCAGGGCAGGAAGGTGGGAGTGCTCAGTGGCAGTGTTGGGGAAGGCTTTCCAGAGGAATGGCTTAGTCGTGAAGCCCAATGGGACCCCAGACCCAAAAGCCTGAGGTGACCTCAGTGTGGAAGATGAGATGGGAGATGTTGTCCTGTGTTCCCTTTGAGCTACTGGACACTATTAGAAAATGAAATTAAGACGTAAGCCAACTGTAGTGTCATTTATGGATGTTGCTGGAAGCTACTTTCCACAGAGCAGTGGTTCCCAATTTGGGATGCACAGTAGAGTCACTTGGGAAATATCTTTAAGCCCTGATACCCATACTGCATCCAACAGCCTACATCCAGACAATAAGAATCTCAGAAGGCTGTCACAGTATTTTTTAAGTTCTCTTGATCCCAAGCGCAACCTAGGTTCAAGACCACTGACACAGAGGGACTCTTGGCTCTGGGTTGACAGAATTCTCATGTTGTTGACATTAGATGCATCTTCAGTTTGTACTGTGCTCATGTTCCAGAAACGTGATGGCAGCTTCTACCTATGACTCATTCTAAAGAGCAAATTTCCACATGGTCTTTACATAAGCCTCTCTGTGTTTTCGAGATCTGCTGCCTCCATAGGAGGCTCAGAATCTCAGAAATTTACCTCCTGGGCAGAAGGATGCCTGAGACCTCACCCAGAAAGAACCTGGGAGGGTGTGATAGGAGAAAAGCCTGTCACAGCCCTGAGAAAAACCGTCTGCAGGGATGCCTGACTCAGGCCTTCGACAAGCCCTGAGTATGGTGCTGCTGTGACCTGCACAGGCCGCTTCTTGTGTTGTGCTGTATTCTACAGATTTGGCAGAAAGACCATCCTCTTCGCAACCATGGCTGTGCAGACTGGCTTCAGCTTTCTGCAGATTTTTTCCATCAACTGGGAGATGTTCACAGTGTTATTTGTCATCGTCGGCATGGGCCAGATCTCCAACTACGTGGTGGCCTTCATACTAGGTAGGAATGGCTTCTGACCTGCAGGGCTCCTCCTTAAAGTCCTCAGAGAGGCCTGGGAAGAGGGGGCTGCTGAAGAGGGCACCAGGAGTGCTCTTACTCAGCACAGAAGGAAGCACAGTAATTCATGGTCTGTGCTTCCAAAAAGTGATCAGCTTCGGGGACATATGTGCTGGGGAGGAGGCTGTGGTCACAGGTTCTTTGACAGGTCACACGCAAGGCAGGCACTCATAGGGAGCCAGCTCTTTGCTGGCCCTGAAATGTGACTGTGAGTAAGAGCCAAGTGATAACTGAGGCACATTTCAGAAGCACGGGGCTTGGGAAGGACACAGAGGAGGGATTCTTGAGGGAGAGACAGTCCGGGGATGTGTCTGATCTGAGCTATGAAGGCTCAAGATTTCTCCTTGGGCCACGGCTAAACAGTCTCCTGGCAGCTGGGCCTGGCCTTTAGGGGGATTAAGGGTGGTCGGTGCGGCTGGTACACAGGTGGAGGAGGCATGTGTCAGACAGGAGTCCGGTGCCAGCTGTCCATCTTTCGGCAGATCTGGCTTCACCCCTAAGTCAAAGCCCACCCCCAGAGCATATCAGCTGCATACAGGACAAGCCTCATTGCTGGGAGCTGTCCTATCTCCTAGCAGCAACCTTGCTTCTGGAATATCAGGGCGTATGAGGGGGACTCACAAGCTAAAGGTCAGGAGGAGGCCCCCAGGGTCCTCAGCAGCTTTTCCCAGGAAGCAGCAGGGTGAGCTCCAGGCATGTTGATAAGGGTCTGCAGGAGTGAAGTCCCCAGCAGGCTCTCTGAGGCCACCTCCTCAGGTGAGAGAAGGGGCAATGGGGCCACCTCTGGGACAATAGATACTCATTCCCATAACCTCTGGTGTGATCATATTTCCTTGTTGGCTGTCTCAGTTTGTCCCTATTGCCACAGTGTAATTACCAATAGCACCCCTTTAATGTAAGTCTAATGATTCTTATCTTAGAAGTCTGAATCTAGTAAGATGATTCTGATAGCTTTTAAGATTCTGGATGACTCGTTGGCTTTCAAGATCCTGTGTTCTCTTTGTTGAGTATGTGTACACCCTGTCAGGTTGCCAACTTGGAACTGTTCAAATTCTACTCCTTTAATCATTTGTGAAGCGCTCCTTGCCAAAGGCCTAGCCTTGGCATCTGAAGAAGGAGGTGGGGAAGGCATGCTGCAGTCACACGACCCCAGCAGAAGCACCCTCTTCAGCAGGAGAGGACCTCTGTCCTTTCTGCAGGGGAAGAGGGGAGGGGGGAAGGATTTATTGAGAGGACACAGAGAGCTGCCAGCCAGTGGTGCTAGAAACTGGAGACTGGAAGAATTCAGGACAGAAGTTGCAACCTCCTAATACCTGATGACCCCAAGGACACAGGGCTCTTGAACACAGCAGAGTTTGTTTTTCTCATGGTTTAAAACCCCACAGACTCCATCTTCCTTTTGGTGACCACCCCATACCTGGAAAGCCCAATGGGTAGCTTTGCCTAGGCCAGAACATACTGGAGACTAAACAGAGGAATCTGCCTAGAGTGAGCAGAGCTCTTTTAGGAGAACCGAAAGAATCACCTGAAATGGAAGGGCACGAGGTCCTAGTGAAGCCAGAGAAGCCCTGTCCTCGGGATCAGGAGTCAGGTGCTGTCTGTGCCGCGCACGGCGTTCCCCAGGGCCTGCTGAACGGCAGCACTTGGACCGGGCTTTCCAGGGGCACGGGGTGCTTCTGAAGCCATAGAGCCTCCTCCCCCGTGTGAGTGGATGAGGCCAGGAGAGCCCAGGCCAGGCTTCCTGCAGGGAAGCCTCTGCCCAGCTGACCCTGACACTACAACCAGCTTCTCTCCCTGCTCCTTATGCTGACACGAGTGGGAAGGCCAAGTAAGAGCTGGAAGATCAGTCGAGCCTAGACGTAGGAGCCCCCGCCAGTGGGCGGGACGCTGGGTGCAGCAGGCTCTCCATCAGCTGTAGGGTGCTCTGGGAGCCTCCCTGGCTGTAGAACGCTCCTTGGTGTTCTACAGGAAACTGCTGACGTTTGTGTGCTGGTTTGAAACTCCTTGTCCTGGGTTCTCAGGCCTGAGCATTTCAGAGTCACTGAAAATCAGTCTGCCCCTTGGAGCAGCCAGAAGCCCTCGTGAGCGCCTGGAGTAGGGTGGGGATGGGAGACACAGCAACATCTCTGGCTTCTGGCAGCGCAGCAGCGCTCTCTGGTGTTCTAGGACTGAAATAGCCAAATTATGGGTTTCATTTAACTAAAAGCAACCCAAGCTTTGGATCTGGTCTGAGTTCTGTCTGGCCCTTCACCTTCACTTTTTGCCCTCTGGCTCCACGGAAGGGTTGGCAAGACTGTGCGGTGATAATCTGCCATTTTAGGAGTTCTCACATTAACTCAGGAAACTGAATTACTCCCACTCTCAACACAGTGGATTCTCAACAAAAATGGATTCTCTCCTTGCTCTGCCTGCCGGAGTCACAGGAGACAAGAAAGGGGAAGAAAGGAACTGTGCTTCTTAAAGAAACAGAACATGGATACACCTGAAAGTGAAGAGGCTGCCAAAACGATGCTGGCTCAGCAGCAAGTGACCACTCAGGACCAAGGACACCGACCCTACCCACATCCAGCTCTCCCATCACAATCTCCTACTGTTTCCTTGGCCTGTCCAAAGCCTCTGGGTGAAACTCTAGTGGCATCCTCCTTTATTTCTCATAACTAGCTGCTTGAATTTATTTTGCCAAGTTGAGTGTCTCCTGTCTTGACTGATTCATTCATTTTTTCCCAGCACTGTTAACGATATTTGTTCCAGCATGCTGAACTACTTAAAATGCTGCTTCCTCTGATGTCTTCATGTTTTCTTCCTTTTGATAAGTACATAACTAATGGCATCTTCCTTTGTAAGTTTGGCTACCAAGAAGCTCATGCAGCCTTTATTAGTCACATAGTTTTTTAAAGTTTTAAAATTGAGTTTACATAGCATAATGTTAACTCTTATAAAGGTGTATAAATTCAGTGGTTATTAGTGTATTCACAACGTCATACAATCATCGACTGTACCTAACTCCTGAACATTTCATCATTCACAAAAGAAACTTATTAGCAGTTACTTCCCCATTCTCCTCTTTCCCCAGCTCTTGGCAACCACTAATCTACTTTCAGTCTGTATGGATTTGTCTATATTCTGGACATTTCTGATAAACAAAATTTTACAATGTGTGGCCTTTGTGACTGACTCCTTCACTTAATGCTGTCAAAGTTGGTCTGTGCTGCAGAATGACTCAGTACTCCAATGTATGTAGATACCACATTTTGGTCATCTCTTCAGCAGGTGACAGACATCTGGGTTGTTACCATTCTTTGACCAATTTGAAGAACGTTGCTATCAGCATTTGAGTACAAGTCTTTTGTGGATCTATGTTTTCAGTTCTCTTGGGCATGTACCTAGGAGTGGACTTGCTAGAATTTATGGGAATTTTAGGTTTTACCATTTAAGGAACTGTCACACTATTTTCCAAAGTGATCTGTTGCATATTTTTGCTCTTTTCTCCAGGACATTGCTTTTCACCTTTCTTTGTATTTTACTTTAATGTTACCATTATTTTATTTTATTCAAATTATAAGCTACTTCAAGGGAGAAATGGGATATAAATACATTAAAAAGATGCAGAGATTTGCTGGCAACCCTTGTTTGCACTGCCCTGAGAGGGAAGAATTGGGGAACACAGGGAGGAGGTAGGACTCACTCCTGTCTGTCCTCAAAGGGCTCAAATCTGGTCGGCAGAGGCAGCCAAGGCAGCTGTTACAGAGAATGTGGGTCGTGGGTCTAGGAGTGTGAGGGGAGCACAGATAAATTGTCTGTGTATATGCATAGACAAGAAAGGTCCCTTTTAGCTAGAATGATCATGAAAGTTTATAGAGAAGAAAGGGGACAAGGGAATATCTGCTATTTTGATGAGAATTCTGAGTATTTTCCAGGAACACAGAGAGGTTTTTGCTGTCTTCTGTTGGATCTCTTGGTCAAAGGCACTGTGTTTTCCAACATTCCCCTGACATCTGGTACATTTCAATTGTTTGACCAGGATAAAAGAATTAACTATTCCTGAGTACCTGCCACATGCCAGACACCTAACTAGGCTCCTTACCTACGTTAATCTCAGTCCTCATAATAATAACTCCATGAAGCAGGACTTATCAAAGTCACCCTCATAGCAAATGAGCATCAAGGGGCCCAGCCTCTGCAGGTGGCTGATAGAGGACCCAGGGTCCTACCCTATATCCTGGCAACTGCACCACAGTCATGTTTCTTGAGCTGGGGTCTGCAGACCTTTGCTGGTCATTCATGGAGGGGCAGATCCTTCCCCAAGTGGAGGGATCCAGTGGTTCCTGAGCTGATTACCATAGAAGGGCCCTGAGCAACATGACAGTAAGCCTGGCCCTCTCTGAGTCACTCACTCTCGGGGAGATTGTGAGGTCCTGGAGGTGGTGACAGGCAGTGGGCAAACACTCCTGGCCAAGACATGCTTCTTTGGCTTAGCAGTCAGAGTCTCACTCACAAGTGATACTCAGAGGCCCAAGCAGATCAAGACCAAGCAGGCTTTGTTCTAGGAGCAAACACCTAAGGGGTAAAGGAGGTCAGGACAAGGAGCCCCTAGTGAGCAGAGCCGGAATCACCAGTCACCTCTCTCACTGCCAGTCACATGGAGTTTGTGACACCTGCTGGCAGTGAGAGGTCTGCAGGAAATAAGACTCCTCTCCCAGTGTCTCTGAGAGGACTGGTTGCCCTCTCATTAGTTTGAAGACCAAATCCTAACTTCTAAAATGCAGGTGTGGCCCCACTCATCTCTCACACATGTCTCCACTAGAACTCAGTCGAAGGACAGCTTGACAGGGTGAAGGCTTTGCTCCCATGTAATTGTTTTTTCTGGACTGTATCCATAGATTAAAGTGATCAGGCTTAAATCCTGTCTGTCCAACTTATTGCATATGTGTGAGTTTAGGCAATTTGCTTTAACTCTTTAAGTCTCAGCTGATGATATGTAAAACAGAAGTAATATTAGTTGTTATATGATTGTTGTGAAGATTCAAAGAGATAATATATGTAAACACTCATTCTGGAACCTGGCTCAAAGTGCCTACTCAAAACAATGCTAACTATGAAGATGATGATGATGGTGCAAAAGGCAGAGTGATTTTCTAAAAGTCAGAGAGCAGGAAGTCATGTTCCCAAGGAGCTATTCAGATTTGTGCCATCCCTGTTGCTCCACATAAGGGCAGAAGACTAGATTAATGAAGCTTCTGTCCCCCATGGGTACTCTGCAAAGCTAGAGCCACTCTGTTCTGACCTGAGACCCAAGCTTAAAGAGGATCCAGAAATTCAGTGGGGTAACTTCTTTCTCTTCTCTTATCAGGATCATGGAAGTATGAGGGAGCTCCCTTGGCCTCATGAGTCTACAAGATTCCCACTTGGTCCTGTGCACTTTCTCTTTTCCACAATCACATCCTCTGCTGCTTCACTTCTGAATCTCTGATTAGGAATAAAGCACTATTCATTGTCATATCTTGATAATCACAGCCAGAGTGTTTAGAAACCATGGCATGGTGAGTCTTCTTATGGAGTGACAGGAAGGTCATTAATGAGGTAAGAAAAGATATGGGAACAACGCTCATGATCCTGAAAGAAGTCTGGCCCTATTTCTGGAAATGAGTTTAAAGGCTAAGAAATGCCCTGGGTGGTTAGAGCTACTGTCTGCAGTCCAAGATGTGAGAGATAGACAATACTGGCCATTTCTATCAGTCTGGCTTTTAGAAATGGCTGTTCAAGACAGAGCCACTGAGACACATCTTCAGTTATGCTGAGTGAGGAAGAAGAGAGGTGAGGATAGGAACATGTAGGAGGGGAGAAAGGGAAACCAGCAGAAGTAGTCATTTTACTGCTTCTCTGGAATTAGTCCTTAATTCCTTAGCCTGTGCTCAGGGCATATAAACACAACTAAGAAACTCCTTCTTAAAACCCAAGCCTAAATAACCTTCAAATCATCTGTTTTGTATTTTCTGGGCTACTTCTCAGTAGTGGTGGGCAGATCTCAAACAAAAGATGGAGCTATTTCCATTGGCCACATCTCCACCCTGGGGCAGAGGACCAAGAGTGGACTCTGTGGAAAGGGCCTGAGTTTTGTGACAACAGAAGGAGCCTGTTTGCAGACTCCTTGCCTCAAATCAAGCGCTCCAAGAAGCAAGCAACATCTCTTGAAGAACTGGGGCTGAGCCATCCACTGTGGCGCTGAGCAGAGCAGGAGCCTTTCCCAAAACAGGGCCAGATGCCAAGCATCTGGTGGTTTTGTGGTGTTCTGGGAAAGCTCTGTGAGTTCTCTCCATGTGTGCCCAGCTCCAGGGCTGCCGCCTGCCAGGCCAGAAGAGCAAGTTCTTGTCTTTCATCGGGCTGCATGGACTGCCTCCGCCTGGGGCTGATACCTGGGCACTGTGTGGCCTCAGCGGAATTCAGCCCTGGGCACTGAGGCCCTGCTCTGAGGACCTCCATAGCCAGCTGGATCCTCTTTATCATTTCTCAGGGCTCGAGGGTAGCTAAGGGTGTCCTAACACAGCTCAGTAACTGAACTCTCCACTGTTTCCAAGAGACCCATATCTGCTTATTTACAGTGGTGAATGGTGGGAGAGGCAGAATGCCGCATGATCCACACACCCTCAGGAGAGCTCCCACGTCTGGGACGCCCTCACTGCTCCTCACCCTGGGGCTTTTATTTTGGAAATGTGGCATTCTCAAAAGAGGTTACCTCTTAGGGCTGAGCATGATGTTCATATGACATGAGGAGACATTAAAAAAAAAAAAAAATCTACAGCTCCTTTAAAATCTCATGAAAACTCATCCTTCTATGAGGTGGTAAGTCTTGGGTCATGTCCCACCTTCCTCCACACTCACCCCTCTTGCTCTGGGCCAGGAGGCAAATAACTCTTTCCTCTTCTAAGTGGTTATATTTTTTAACTCTAACTGCCAGGTAATGATGTGAAAAAGCAAATATTGAAGTGAGTTAAAATGCTAATACTCCTCCCTTGTTTTGAACAGGAACAGAAATTCTTGGCAAGTCAGTTCGTATTATATTCTCTACGTTAGGAGTGTGCACATTTTTTGCAGTTGGCTACATGCTGCTGCCCCTGTTTGCTTACTTCATCAGAGACTGGCGGATGCTGCTGCTGGCGCTGACGGTGCCGGGGGTGCTGTGTGTCCCGCTGTGGTGGTGAGTGTGGCTCTGTCTCAGACAGCCCCCTACTGCGGGCCAGCAACCTGGAGCCCAGAGCCTGGTGCTGACCTTGACGTGGGCCTGCTGATCTCACTGGAGCAGGCTGAGGCCTCAAAGCCCACAGATGGTTTCCCTTGTTGGGGGTGGGCATGTGTGCTGGGGTTTGATTCCCCACCATCCCACGAAGCACCATTCTCAGGAAACCCAGTCCCCCTTGGGCTATCCCAACTCTTCTCTGTTACTGGACGGTTGCTGCTGTTTGTGGAGATGGTACTGTTGGGTTTTGTTATTTTCAGCTCTGCCCCCCGCTCTTCTGACACTTTTCTCTAGGAAATCTCTTTTTCCTTATGTCTTCAACTAATGTAATTTCCGCAAGCTTCCCTATCATGTAATGATTAGCATCTAAGATGTGACTGTTTATCTGCTTTGTCTTGAAGTGCTAGAGAATCACTTCTGTTTAATTAATTGTTAGAGAAAATATTCTTTTCACTCCTCTCACAACCCTTCAACCAAATTTCGACACATCAATGTGGGAATAACAAAGTGTTGAGATGCTGACCCCAGTCTCACCGAGTTATGGCTATGGGGAAGATTTTACGTGAGAGAACAGAATGACAATAATGGAATAAGGTCCCAGCCATATGTTTTATTTGGGGGAGATTCCTCATTTCTTTGGTTTTTCCATATTTAAATAAAAGGAAAGGGGATTTTTTTTCCCATTATTGAGTCCGGTATTCTCTCCCTTTCTCTCTCTCTCTCTCGCTCTCTCTCTCATTGATTAGTCTTAATTTGGTTTCATGATATCAAAATCAAATCTCCCAGCAGTGACTGGTTTTACTGAATTGCTTGACCTCTGTCTGCTTACAAACAATTAAAGTATTTTTGATCATGTTTTGGGGCTCACAGGTTAGACTAGCGCTCATGGTTGCCCTGTCCTATGGACATACTTAGGGAAGGGTGCCTTAGGAAGTTTCCCGGAAGGACCTTCATCTTGCTGCAACTGTTAGGCAGCCACAGAGGCTGACAGGTGGTACTTCTTGGCCTTGTTAGACCAGATCGCTCTGGTTAGACCACTCCAAACTACTGTCCTTTTATGATCTCTAAGGCTGGTATGATTCACCAGTGCAAATTCTTGGCGTGAGTGTGCATGGGGAAAAGAAAGCACTTTTTTTTTTCTTACTTCCCTAGAATTTGAGAAACAGTGTTTTAGATAGTATTCTGATTTCCTGACCCAGTCTGAGAGTAGGGCAGTTTTCTTGAATGAGAATCACCATCATCACCATCATCATCACATCACATCAGCATCACACCCTCTCTCCACAACACCCCCTGCTAACTGAATTTATTGTAAAAGGTGCTGGTGACCAGACAGTCTCTCAAGTCACAAGACGAGATCATTCAGAGGTTACTTTCTGCCTCTTCAGTTGAATGATTTTGGTAATCTGTGTTCTTTGGTTCTAGTTGTCATTTCAGCATAAGAGACTAGTATTTTCAAAATATGTTATAGTCAACTGTATTACTATATGATTCTATAAGAGAGAGAAAACAAAAATAGAAGGGCCCTGACTAGTACGGATTTTAATTTGTGGGGCTCAGATCTTTGCCTCGGAACCAAATGCCACAGGAACAACTCTGACAGGTCAGCCTCTTGGGTTTCTAGCACAGAAGGTCCATCCCACAAGGAGCGGCCTTCCTCTTGCTCTGAGGAGAGTTGTTCCATGTGGCCCACGGGCTGCTCCATGAGTGCTCCTGGCTGTGGGCACGTTGTACCCGGGACAGGCCTGCCCCAGACAGAGCACAGCCCGGGGCCAGGACAAATAAGCTGAGTGCTTGTCCCGAAAGTTTAACAGTCTTATCATTTTTCTTTAAAAATAAAAACAAAATAGCTCTCTTTTTAACACCTTGTCCTTGAGGGTGGGATTTGCTGAAGCAATGCCCATCCATCGGGGTGGGCTGGGATGATGCGGGGATGGCTTCTGGCTGCTGTGACCTCTACTACCTACTCAGCATGTGATATAGACTCTCTAGCAACACTTTTCCCCTGTTCAATTTGAATTAAATCTACAGAGAGGCTGTAATGTAAACCTTATTTGGCCCTCCACTACCTTGAAATGATGAGTTAGACTTATTTATACACCAAAAAACCATGGCAGTTCAAAAGTTAAGATGACAGCAACCCTAAGTACAATGGGCTGAAAATTGGAGCAGGTGTTTTGGGGGCTTTTTAATGTCCCCAATTTCCTTGGCAGCAAGTGATCACAAGTATGAATGGAGTGTTGTAGGTGGGGAAGGAGCCCCTAGGTGCAACATGGGGAAAGTTTTGCAATATCTAGCTGACTAATCATTTGGAACTTGAGGCCAGTGATGGCCCTCAGAGCTGATAGTTAAGAAAGGTAGGATATGTCTAAGAACAACTTGGTTGGGGAAATATACCTCTCAGAAGTAGAAGTGCCCGTGCTGTATAGTTCTTCATTAATACAGTTGCCACTAGCCACATGCAATGACATGTTAAAATTAAGGAAGTGCAAGTGTTTGTCTCTCAGTCATGTCCGACTTTTTGCCGCTCCATGGACTATAGCCCGCCAGGCTTCTCTGTCCATGGGATTCTCCAGGCAAGAATACTGGAGTGGGTTGCCAGTCCCTTCTCCAGGGGATCAAACCTGGGTCTCCCACATTGCAAGAGGATTCTTTACCATATGAACCACCAGGGGCCGCAAGTAAATGTAAAATTGTATTTTTCCATCACACTAGTCACACCAACTCAATAACCACATTTGGTTAGTGGCTGCTGCATTGAACAGCACAGATACACAGCACCAGAGGAAGTTCCCTGGGACAGGACAGCTCTAATTACCAAGGGCCAGTGGCCTAACATCATCACAATTGCTACAGGGACCAACCAAGTATATATTCCAAAAAATGAAAGTGGGTTCATTTTTCAACTCGTGTGCTTGTGGTAGGCTAGGGACGGAAGCTGGGGGTTAGCTATTTGATATGTTGTGTTTTGCTCTGAGATAATTCCTGTTGAGGCTTTTCAGGGGCCTGTTAATTATAGGAAGACTGTATCTGCTACATATAATTTATTTTCTAGGACCACTTAACACTGACAAATAGATAAGGAAAACAAGAGCTCGCAAAAGAATGGCTAAGCAATTCTGAGAAATAAAGATTAGGAAAGAATGATAAAAAATAAATAAAAATAGAAAAATTAGGAAAGAATAGAAGTCAGCCATGTCTGAGCATCAATTAAAAATGTGGGTAGATTGTGTGATAAAAAGTCAGTTTCTAACTAACACAACATTGTTAATCAACTATACTCCAATATAAAATAAAAAATTTTAAATGTTTCTAGACAATTAAAAAAAAGAGAGAGAGAGAGACCACATTGGCTGACTCCCCATAACTGGTTTGGGTACTCACTGAGCTGAGAATCTGTTGAAAGCCATGGGACATCCCACAGAAGTGTATCAATGCACTCGCCTCCTCCTCTGACTGCCTAAGGAAATGCCCGAGGAACACAGATGCCTTCTTTTACCCAGTAAACTTGTGAGCCTCACCAGCTGAGGCACCAGGAATTCCCCTAGGGATGGATACACTGGAAAGATACTAGACTCTGTTTCTTTAATGAGCCATGCTGGGTATGAAGTTTTGGGTGGTATTCTCCAGCTGCCCTTGTTTAAACATGCCCATAGTTAATGTTACCCCTTGTAGGCTGGCCCTGTCTTCAAGTACAACTAACGATTGGTCTTATAATTTGATCACAACTTTCAAACGTGAAGGTACTTTTATTTATTCCTACAAATAATGGAGATCTTATGAAGCCTCCCTCCTGATGTTCTTTAAAAAGACAAACTAGAATTTTACAAAGTAAAAATTATTTAGGGGCAACTTACAGTTGATAGCATCAACCTTGTTACTGTGAAAAATTATAAAACATCCAAAATGAATTTTAGGTTTATTCCCGAATCTCCCCGATGGCTGATATCCCAGAGAAGATTTAAAGAAGCTGAAGATATTATCCAAAAAGCTGCAAAAATAAACAACATAACTGCCCCAGTGGTGGTTTTTGATCCTGTGGAGGTAAGGATTTGCAAATGTCTTCTCTTGAGATCAGCTGTGCATTCTTGATTATGGAATTTAATTTGATTCAATAGATTTTGAGTGCCTACTGTGCACCATGCACTGTTCAAGACCTTAGAGACAAAATGATGATGAAGTTCTGAGATAAAACCCATCTCAAAGGGCTGTGGACCAATTAAATATAATAATATATATAAATTGCTTAACAAATAGCAGTGAAAGTGTTAGTTGCTCAGTCATGTCCAACTCTTTGCAACCCCGTGGACTACAGCCCACCAGGCTCCTCTGTCCATGGAATTCTCTAGGCAAGAATACTGGAGTGGGTAGCTATTCCCTTCTCCAGGGAGCATACAGCAAGTGTTGATTAAATATTAGTTCTTGCTCTGTACCACTGATGCAGCTACATACTGGTGATTTTTTAATATCTATATTAAGTGGGGAAAAAATATGTTTGAGAGATATTCCACCCATGGGTTCCCCACTGTATTCTGAACCTTACCAAAGTCTGCTGGGCAAGCTGTACCTGTCTTTAGTCTTGCTATATCATGTCTAGAACCCTAGGGCCTGAGAGCATAGGCTGGTGGATTCACACCTGCAGGAAGAAGGCCATGAAAAAAGCAGATATTCAGAGGAAGCATACTCACTTCCTGACAGTCGTAAGGCCTCACCGTGTCCTTGGCCATACCTCATGCCAACTCCCAGAGAAAACAAGAAAAATCAGACACATAAGGAGCATAGAGTATAACCCAGAGTGTTAAGAGAATTAGATGGAAGATAAGTGATGAGGTGAGGAAGGAGGTCCCCAAGGAGCAAACAGGGCGAGCCAGCAA